CGCCGACTCCGTCCACACCTTTGGGGACCCCTGGACCTGCTGGGGTTGGACCCCAGCAACTCTCTATCTCTCTCCCTTCCTCTCTGTAAAAAATCAATAAAATATATTTTTTTAAAAAGTCACTTCATCAGAGTTCAGCTCCCCCTCCCACCTCCCATCCTGCTTCCTCCCAATTCCCCCTTCTCCCCTCCTCCCGCCCCCATAATAGAGAATGAGGGCCCACTCCATCTGCCCACAGCACTCCTGCTCACCTCGGTCATCCTGCTGAGCATGCCAGGCAGTGACTTTCCTGGTTACTGGTCCAACCTGGATTCTTTTAAAATTCCAGAGACATGCATATATAAGGCAAAACTTCCAGCACATGTTTGTTGTTGTTTAAGGAAAAATCAAAGTCTCCCTTTCCTCTTCCACCTCCATCCCACTTGCATCCAGAGTCCAATGCTGTTACCAGTTTCTAGCTGTGGCTCCTTCATAGTTTTAAATAGTAGGCTCATAATTCTCTCCTACAACATCAGGGGTCTGGTTTCTTTCATTCATTAATTATAGATTCCTCATATACATGGTGTACGTTTTATTAGACTCATCCCTAAGTATTTCAATGGAGGGATAAATGGTACTGTTTTTTCATTTTCAGTTTCCCATTGTTAATGCTAGTGAATAAAAACATAATTTTTTGTGTGTTGACTTTGTATCCTGCAACCTTTCCAGTTTCAGTGATACTGGAAAGTTTTTCATGTTTCCACATGGGACACATAAGCCAGGATTTGGGTGTGGTTAATCTTAATCTTGGCGGGACACTATCCCTCCTGGGACAGGAGAGCCTGGGAGGCTTAGGAAGAGCTGCCATAATGCTGTTCTCACTGCTTCTCTATTCTTCAGGGAAGCTGTCCTAGGAGCCTTTCTCCTTGTCGTCTCCCAGTGATGCCGGGGTCTGAGGCTTCTACCTCGTGCTTCTGGGGTTGAGCTGCAGGCTCCAAAGCTGCTCAGACACAGCATGACATTCTCTCCTCAGCAACAGGGTCCTGTCATCCTTGCTGCAACCACCTGAC